TGCGTGTGTGTATTATTAGTAGAAAATTAAAAATTAAAACTTTAGTGGATGGTTAGTTTGAACTATAATTAAGTTTGAAAACTAGTTTGAAAAATTAAAACTAGTTTTTTTTTTTTAATTATAGTTAAGTTTTAAGAAAAAAAAGATAGTATGATTAGTTGTTAGTGGATATATTAAAATAATATTTAAATTAAAAATAATTACAGTTGCTTTGATGTAAAAGTAGGAAAAAATGATTGGAATTGATGGTTAGTGAAAATTATTTGAGTGAATGAATAGTGAATTAAAGTTGATGTGATGCGTAATAATGATTGGTTGATATTATTTAATTATATTTAATATTGGAGATAAAAGAATTATGTTAAAGTTGAGTTAAATTTGAGTTTCGAGTGAGATATTTATTGTAAAATTCATGAACAACCACGCCCTATGCAACTCAGCTTCGAACAAATTCATTTGAATATAATAATTTGAATAGCACTAACATTTGTGTCAGTATTAGATTAAGGTCTGTACTCTGAAATATTATAATTGCTCTGATAGAATCAAGTAGCATTAAATTCAAGCACATTGGTTTTTTATTGTTTTTTTTTTTAACTTGTTAATTTTGAAAAATATGATATAATTAATTGTTAGTGGATTTATAAGTTTAAATTAAAATAACTAAAGTTAATTTTCGGGCCGACCAACCCTTGGGGCAGTATGCGAGTATCGACTCGGAATCGGGTTTGGCTATGTCTTGCCGTGACTAATGCATGGCCTTTCTATTACATTTATACACCGAGAAATGCTTCGAACTTTAGCATTTGCTTTTACCCTAATTTCATTTTGGCTACTTAGGCTATGTTTGGTAGACAAATAAGCTAGCTTATAGTTTATTTGGTTAGCTTATAAGCTCCCTGTATTCAAATAAACCTCGTTTGGTAGGACGAGCTTTTTGAAAAAGCTCGAGCTTATTTGATAAGCTTCTTTAGGTAGCTTTTTAAATAAGCTAGTTGAATTTTTTATTCCAGCTAGCGTATCAGCTAATTTTACCAAACACTTTTATCATATAAGCTAGCTTATCAGCTATCAGCTAGCTTATCAGGTAGTTTTACCAAACATAGCCTTACACATAGGGTTGTTATCGAACTGAACTTTTCGCGAACAAAGCTTGTTCGTGTTCTGTAAGAGCTCGGTCGTGTAGTAATCCAACCGAATTCGAACATGAAATTGTGTTCGTTCAGTTATCGAACGAACACGGACAAGTTCGAGAACTAATCGAGCGTGCGCGAACTAAAAAATTATTTTATAATTTTATATATTATATATAGTATATACATATATATAGTATAATATATAAATATGGTATATTTAAATATTTAATAGAATAACTTGTATGGCATTAAAATAACATCAAACAATGGCATGCAATGAAGAAGTGCAACAGTGGGCAGTTTCTAGGGATACGGGTTCTAGGGATCATCTTTCGGTGTTCAGTGGAAATGCAGCTGCTGGGATTGAGGAAATGGCCGATGAAGGGCAGAGGGAAGGGGTGGCAGAAGGTCGGGATAGTCATTGGGTGTATATCTTTGTAACTATGTATATGTGTATATACTATATCCTATAGGCGAATGGTATATTAAGACTGAAGAGATTTTTCGGTTTTCAATGTATCAATATTTGTTGACTGGTGGATTTTTTACCGATTTCTGTATACAATCAACAATGCCTTGGCAATCAGTCTGATGCACGACACACCCTTCATCATCGTCATATTTCCCATTATCATCTGAATACGAGTGGGGCGAACGAAGGTTGC